ATTTTAATATGTCCTTTGCCCTCCCCAAAACACACAAAAATTCAATTGCAGATCTATGACATTTTCCCTTATTCAAATAAAAATCCACTTCCTATAAGAAACTTAACCAACTCAATTAAATCTTCAATTTACCAATATAATACTTATCTAAATTTCTTCTCAATTCTCATTTGTACAATCAAGTAAATTTCCTCAACACCAAATTCAAAAAAAATCCAAGATATGTGGTATAAGATTTTGTTTTAAACAATATATTCTCATTCCCATAGCAAGAATATAGAATTGAAACTGCAGTAAGTGTACACTACATTGATATCTAGCACAATGATTCACATTACGATAAAATCATATTCCTTTAAAAATATGGCCACAAATAGTTTTCTAAAAATCATAAAATGTGTATATTGAAGTGTTAAACATATAGTCTGGATAATTATAATAATAGTTATATTTTTTTAAAGTATGAAAAACTTGAAGAAAATATGCTCAAATATAAACAATATTTCCTCTTTAAATTTTCTGCAATATATGTATAATAGATTTTATAATTTGAATCTTTTAACAAATAAAAAAACAAAATTGACACTTTACTCTCTTGCAGTGAATCCATAATTAAAAGGACTTACATGTTCATCAAAGATGAACGGTTTATGCACACCCTTCCAAGTACAATTCTCTTTACAGATTTTAATTCAACTTTCTTGGCTCTTGTGGTATATCCTATTGATTAGTTTTATGGGTTTCTTGATTACCCAAGAAGTGGATAATTGAGTGGGCTCAATATAAGTGGACTAAAGTTCAATGACTGTGAAGGATGCTGTCATTTGTGTCCACACCTTGGCAACTTAATAGGTTGCTGTTCCATGGGTTGAAATTAGAGAAACTAATTCTAGACTTGCACTAAGAAGATAAACCTAGGCCCAATGTGATAAAATATGCGATAAAATATGTGGTAGAAATGTTCCATAGATACACAGAATCTTCATTAGAACTATGTGTAACATACATTTAATTATATCTTTCCATAAAGTAATTTCTACAAGAAAATTAAAAGTGATTAATTTTCAACAAATGAAAATGTTGAAAAAATCTATAAATATTATAGTGTTGTTTTTATAACCTATATAAATATATTTCTTATTTTATTCACACCATGACTCCTTCAAAAGAAAAGGTATATCGTAGAATATTTCCTTCTTTTTAGCAAATGTTTAAGACCCTGGAGGTTGGTCATTTGGCTTTAATTTAAAATAAAAGATGAGATTAAATGGAAGCAAATCAATAGCCACGGTTCATAGATAACTTTTATTAAACATATTATAGGTCAATATGTTTAAATATCAGGTCTCTCCTTTTTAGCTTTCAAGAGGGAAATGTTTTAGTTATTTGGAGAACAAAAAATATAGGAAGAATAATATTCTCATGATGTTTATATAATACATTTAGGAAAATATTACTATGCCAACTATAATATTTGGAGGATTACCAGTAATGCCTTATTGTGCTGTTTCCTGGCTAGTCTTTTAGTATTAAAAATTGTAGCAAAACTGGATGTCATGTGGATTATAAGTCATTTTGATAAGAGACTTTACATTTATAAATACATTTACATTTTAAATGTTATCTACAAGCACACAATAATTCAAGGAATCAAGAAGTACAAAAATGCATATAATAAAAAGGATTCCATCTACTCCAATCTCCATTTCCTATCTCAAAAGGCAACCACAGGTATTCTATTTTTTTGTCTTCCAAGAGATTTCCTATGCATGTACAAACTAACATATATACCTTTTAATATAAGTGGCAGTCTTCTATATACTTTCCTGTGTCTTGTTTTTTCGTTTCTTAAAATGTTGTGCTGTTGATTATGTTTCAGTTCGTACAACCTTATTCTTTTTAATGGCTGCACCATTATGTATTTAACTATTTAACTATAAAAATTTAAATTGTTTTTAAAGTTATGCTATTACAAACCATGCTGAAATAAACTTACATTTTGTTGTTTGTGCACCTGTGTATTAAATTCCTGAAAGCAAAACTGGTGGACCAAAGTTTTGTACATTTTTTAAAGATACTGTCAAATTGTACTAAAAGAATTTGAATCAATTCCTACATTACAGAAAAACATTAGATTTATAATACGGTGTTTCATCAAAATTTTTGTCTTTGCCAATCTGATAGGTAAAATTTTTTTAGGTTTTTTTTTTATATATCTTAAGATAACACAGAGGTTGATGAACTTTTATCATATACTTGAAAGTCATTTGTATCTCTAGTTCTGTGAATTACCCTTTGGTCATTTGTTCATTTTTGTTGTAGTAGTTGTTGTTGTTAGCTTTTCTTTTCATGTTCTTTATATGAGATTAAAGTCTTAAAATTATATTGATTTTAATATATTTAAGTTTTATTTTATGCTAAAATTATTTTTTCCAAATTTATCATTTGTTTTACTGTATTTTTGCCATGCAGTTTTTAAATTTTTTTTATAGACCAATTTTAGATATTTTCCTTCCTAAAGAATAGCAAATCTCTGTCATACAGAAGGATGAGTGCTGAAGGTGAATTTTAGTACAATGCTGGTGAAATATGTAAGGAGTATGAACATTCTTGTATTTTCTGTTTATAAAAAAGTTAACTGGCGTGAAATCCCTCAGGAAAAATTTTTAACTTCTATGCCCACAATAAACATCATAATCATCAATAGTGAGGAAGGAGAAAAAGGAAGAGGTTTATTAAGGAAGCAGCTGAAAGACAACATTCAAAGAGAAAGACAATGAAGAGAACAATATGGAATGCTTTGTGAAATATATTTCTTCTATATCAAATGACAAGTGATATATTCAAGAAGGAAGTAATCTGTATAAATTACTAATCACAAACACTCTCAGGAGCTTTATTATTTTCCCATTATAACAATATTATGTTTCTTTAAAAACATGCATACATTATAAAAATGTCATAGAACACGAATACTCAAAACGATATAATTTAGTCTATAGTCCAACTTATTTACAAAAATATTATGTTACTGTATACACACACAGTTTCAACTTGTTCTTTGTTTCTATGTTTTAACTTCTAATATTCTTTGGACATATTTCCGTGTTAGAACATTTAGAGCTACCAAATGTTTTAAACTATTTCCCCTTTGGATGTACCATAGTCATAAAGTTGTTTCCAAATCCCAATCAATAGTTACAAAGTTGTTTGTATATTTTTTATATTGTAAATAAACCTGTGAACATCTTTGACACAGATTTTTATTTGCACAGTTGGGAGCATATTTTGCAGGATAAATTCCAATAAGTGAATGGGTATTTGAAAATTTGAATAGCTATCACCTTTTCCACTGAAAGCCTGTAAAAGTATATTTCCCTTATTGTATTATCAGCAACACTGAAAATTATCAGACTCTCAAAATTAGTAAACCAGGCAAAAATTAATGTCTTACTTTAATTGTACTGTTTCAGATAATCAGTGTGACTAAGAGTCTTCACTCTGCTTATTATTTGCATTTCTGTTGCTATGTTTCTTTTTATCCTCAACTGGACTGTTGATTTCTAAAGGTCATTAGTGAGATTTCTAGGTATACCGGCAAAATCATCTCTTTTTCTGTTAACAATGTACCCAGTTTGTATCTGTCTTTTGGATGCAAATGTTAATAAAAATTATGTCCCTAAATGGGTCTAGGTTTTTGCACTATGTGTAGAAATGCTTTTCCCATGTGCCATGCGCACAAATACCCATTCAAGTTTTCTTTATTATATTTTCAAGCTTCATATATTCAAAGTAGTATGCCATGTAGACAACAATTGTATATTGAACAAGGAAAAGTTTCAGTTTTAGTACTAGCTTTCTCAAATAAATACTTCTTTGTCCAAGTACGATCAATTAGATGGTATTTCTTCCTCACCCCCAATTTAAAATGTGTCCTTATCACAAAAGCTCACTTTCTTTTTGTTTTTAAATCTGCTCTGCAATTTCATTGACATGCCTGATAGGGCTATCCCACAGTCTTTTAATCACTATAGATTTATAATACCTTTTATTATATGCTAAATTCTCCATATATACATATATAAATATATATATTTATTTGAAATGTCCTAGCTATTTCCAAGTGTTTTTTAGTTCACATGAGCTAAACAGTCCCCTTTAAAAATATTTGGTTAAAATACTATTTAATTAACATATTATGTTAGTGAAATGATGTATTTCCCTACAAAAATGTTATGTATTTTACTGGATTCCTAAATATACATTTTATATCTTTTATTAAAATAGGTCTTTTCAAACTTCTGTTATTTCATGCCAAACTGAAGATTATTTTGTACTATTGTATTTTGCAGTTTACATATAGAACATCAAATGATTTCTATAAATTAAGTAAAATACAGTTGGACACTCTGCTAAATGCATTTATTATTCCCATTAGTTTTTCAGTTGTTTGGAATGAATATTCAAAGTATACAATCACATCATGCATAAAGTGATGTGTTCTGCCTACATACAATTCGCAACCGTGTGTGATGATGAGCATTGTCTTTTTTAAATTTAATAGAAATCATGGTAGTGTTTCACCACCTCAATAGCAGATGACAAACAGAGGTTATCCACCTATTCCTATTATAGTAGAATGCAATTTAAATTATTGATCTATACCCCTTGTAGGTAGCAGCTGGGAAATCAACGTTAGTGTATAATATCTTGACGTGTATTTATTCTGGCGGCTTCGTTTTAAGTGCAATATAAAGGTGAAAACGAAATTGTAAAGCCCGAGAAGACAAACAAGGCCACAACATAAATGAAAGAAAATCTAAGTCTTGAAATAAGAACGTTTTATTTTCAGGAAAAAAAATAAATAAAGTAAAATAAAGCCAACACACCCCCCAAATCACCCGAATTTATCCAAATTGACAATGCAAGAGATGGCTTCTCTGCTACAACCCCTCTCTGGCCAACAAGCATGTAGAGACGTCCTCACAAACCCTCATTACCTGCCAGTGTCCTGAGTCCGTGCGAGCTGCGCCGAGGTCACGCCAGGTAGAGACCAAGAGGAGCCCAGGGAGGCAGGGCCAGTCACGGGGCGCGCGGGGCTCGGGAGAAGTAAGCGCAGCCGCCTCTCGGAGCGCTCGCGTCGCCTGGGTTAGAAGTTAGTCTCCCCAGCGGAGAGCCTTCATTCCGGGCCACTGCCGCCAGGTTAAGACTCAGGGAACCCTAACGTCCTGGACCGCTCAACGACCACTACCCCAGGGCTGCAGACAGCTCGCTACAAAACCTGCCGCGTCTCCACCGCGGGCGCGCGCTCGCACCCCGAAACTTCTGCAACCACCTGAGGATGCGGCGCCCGGGAGCCGCTAGCCCGGGACCCCGCGGCCCTCCACCCCGCGTCAGAGGTGCCGCAGGCTGGGGCCTCTCCACACCACGCCCCCGCCCCGCAGCCTGGCCCGCCCGCCCCGCAGGCCCCACTCACCGCCCGCCCCGCGGACCGCTGGGCACCGGCGGCGCAGACGCAGGCTCTAATTTTACCGCAGGGGAAAAAGGGAAAGAAGAGGAGGCGGAGGAGGGAGACGGAAGAGGAGGATTTTTCAAATTAAAAACAGAGTAAGCGTGCGGAAGCAAAGGGAGGCGCAGGATCCAGGGGCGGGTTCCCGGCTAGTGTAGACACTCCCTCTGCACGAAGGGCCTCCCGAGCCTCGGAGCCCGCCCACCCGGGCTGGGTAGCAGCCCGCCCGCGACGGGGGCTGCGGGGCTCCCTGCAGGGGTGGAGCACCCTGAAATGGGCTGAGACCTAAAAGCTGAGGGGGGAGGGGGAAATAAAGAAGAATACAAGTTGTCACCGCTCCAATAGGAGCTGAAAGACAAGAGCCAGCCCACCGTCGCCTCTCATCAGAGAGGGCAGGTTCTAGAGCCTGGGAAAAGGAGCTTTGCTAATAGAGGAGTGCTGTGCTTAAAGAGAAAAAGGAAAGAAAGAAAGAAAGAAAGAAAAACTCTTTCTCAAGAGTCTTTTTAATTTGTATTTGCTCCCACTCCGAGACCATTGGCTTGGAGAACTGCCCTTGGCAATGCAGTGCTGCCTGGAAACGCTCAGGCTTGGGGCCAAGGAATTCTGTTTTCTTTTCCACGGGACTGAAAGTGGCCAATCTGATCTTGGAGGGAGGGTAGGAGAGACACCAGGAAAGAGGGAAGGGGGAGCAGGGGTGCCTATGATTTCTGACATTGGGAGAAAAATGACATTTGTTAATTACGGTTGTTATTAACAGTAATTAAAGTATTAAAGAGTTACAAATACTTCTTTCAAACAAAAGGGATTCAGTAACGTGGCCCATCGGGAGAAGCACAATACACTGACTGGAAGTGGGAGAACCTCAATGTCTTCTGACTTTACAAAGAATCAGAAGTGGACAGAAGTAAATTTGATTGAGCTCTGAGGAGTACTTGGCAGTCCTCCACTGGGGGAGACTGTTGGATGGGGGAAGGCATGTGGGAGTGGAGTTCTAGAATTTTCCATTTTCCTTTATGTACATATTATTTGTTAGTATTCCTGTTATTTGTTAGTATTCCTAAAGGAATACTAACAAAAATCATATTGTTTTTCTCAGCAATAATTGCACGGAACATTTCTCAAATTTAGAAATAGTATTTTATTGAAAACATAAAACAAAGAAATGGTTGCCAAACTCCAGCAAAATATAATAGTACTTATTACCATTGTTTTAAATTCATGAAAGGGGCCAAGAAATTGAGCTTATGAATGTAAACATCCACAATGGCCACATGAAAGATGCCAAAAATCTCAAGAGCAAAGCATGTCTTGTGAAACACATTGCTTTGGGGGATTAAACAAAACAAAACAAAACATTTAAAGTATGTCACGTACCCCAAATCACAAGTTTTGAGGGGAAGGAGAAGGATTTAAACCTATGTCCCTCTGAAATTCTCGATCTGCTGACCTACAACCTGAACACTTCCAGGAACGACAAATTCATTACTTTTTGTACTAATTCCATTTTACTTTCTTTGTTGCTCCGCACAGGTTTTTTTCTGGTCATTCTTGTGTTACTACAGTCTACTTAGAGTTAATATTATATGAAGTTAAGAAATTTGCAACACTATGTCTACATTCTTCAATCCTATGCATACACAAAAATTATAAGCTACACACCCAAACGTTATAAGTTTTGCTTAAGTAGTCAGTTGTCTTTTATAGAGACTAAAAGAAGAAAAACGACACCTTTTATATTTACCTACATACAGGCAATCTCCTGTGGTTCTCATTTTTTTTTCCCTGTAGATCTAAATTTTATCTGTTGTCATTTCCCTTTAGGCTAGACTTTCCTTTACTATTTATTTCTTGTAGTGCAGAACAGCTAGAGACAAATTCACTCATGTTTGTTTTAGTGCAAAAATATTTTTGTTTTTTATGATTTTTAAAGGTTATCTTTACTGGGTACAGAGGACAGATATTTCTTTTATCTCCCAACAATTTTGACTTCCATTTTCATCTGATAGGATTTATATTATTGGTTTTAAGAATAACTTTTTTTTTTTTCTTTTTTTTTTGAGACAGAGTCTCACTTTGTTGCCCAGGCTAGAGTGAGTGCTGTGGTGTCAGCCTAGCTCACAGCAGCCTCAATCTCCTGGGCTCAAGCGATCCTCCTGCCTCAGCCTCCCAAGTAGCTGGGACCACAGGCATGTGCCACCATGCCCGGCTAATTTTTTGTATATAAATTTTTAGTTGGTCAATTAATTTCTTTCTATTTTTAGTAGAGACAGGATCTCGCTCAGGCTGGTTTCGAACTCCTGACCTCCAGCAATCCGCCTGCCTCGGCCTCCCAGAGTGCTAGGATTACAGGTGTGAACCACCACACCCGGCCAAGAATAACTTTTTAATCTTTGGTTTTCTGCAGTTAGCCTCTGATGTTTGGTTTTGTTTGTATCTGTTCTACTTGGGGTTCTCTGAACTTCACAAATACTTAAGTTCATATTTTTTACCAGATTTTGAAATCTTTCAACCATTATTTCTTATTGTTACTATCCTGTTTCCTTTCTCCTCTTTTCCTTCTGAGAATTCAATTCAATTAAGTGTATGCTAGACTACATTATATTGTCTCACAGCTCACCAAGACTTTGTGTACATTTTTCTGATTTTTTTATCTTTAAATTGAATACTTTCTACAGATCTCTCTTCAAAATATATTGACACTTATTTCAATCTGCTGTTAAGTCCATTACAGATATTATACTTTTTAGTTTATATATGGCAGCCCCAAACACCACAATTGGCATAATTGTGACAACAAGGGTTTTAATTCGATGCTCTGAATGTTTATGTTGTGACTAAAGAATTGGCCATTGTCTTTAAATGGGAATAAACTATTAGTAAATAGAGCTTCCTTTTGTATAGTGTCTGCATGCAAAGAGAATTTTCTGCTTTTAAAAAAATTGGCTGGATCAGAGCTACTGACTTTTTATGTGTATATTCAGGAATGTGAATTATTGGGGTAGGTTACCGAATTTTAAAATGATGGACTTTTAAAATTAACTAAAATCTTACAATTAAGACATGTAAGGAAAATAATCTATTTCTACACAACTGCTCAGGAATTTCTCCTAAAATACATAGCCAATGGTATCATTTCCAGGATAAAATCTTCCATTTTTCAAGAAAATATTTTTCATTTTAAAGTCTACAATTTTCAAGAAAACTGTTAATGTTTATCCTAGAACATATTGCCCTAATTTTCTTCCATCTGCTTAATTTTTGTTGCCTCACTGCCTACTATTAATAGTTCTTTGTTTTCATATTCTAGTAATATGTAGACACAACATATATCAATTTACCATTGCATTGCTGTTGGTTCATGACATTGTGAGGTTTATCATCTCACAAATATTTTTTGCCACTGCCTTATACTCAATTCTCTATCTACTACATTCTAGTAATTCTCCCAGAGTCACTTCAAATACTACCCCCTTTGGGGGAATCCTTCTATGACTTCCCCATTCTGATTTACTGAGTACTTTGAGTCCTGTTCTGTGTTAAGTGCTAGAAAATCAGAGGACAATATGACGCACAGGTTTTCTGCTCTCATAGAATTTACACTCTTGTCAACTCTAACCAATAAAGTAAATGGATTACAAAGTAATTTTAGAGCATTAAAAGTAGTTTGTAGCAATAAGGCAAGGTGATATAGAGGATGGAGCAGAAGGACTATATTATAAATGGTATTCAGGAAAGACATCTTGGTCCCTGGAGAAAGAGACATTCATGCCAAATGATTAGAAAGAATCAGCTGTGCAAACATGTGGTCTTTACTAGTATTCCAGAAAGAAAGAACAACAAGCAGAATGGTCCTGAGGGAGGAAGAAAGAAAGAACAAAACAATACAAAACAAAACAAAAATGTTGATGTCGGGGCAAGAGGAAGCGTGGCACAAGAATAATGTGCATTTCATGAATTCATTCCATTTGTATTTTCACCCTTCTTGGAAGTTTCTCCATGCAACTCCCTAGCTAGCTTGTTCCTAGTTCTGTTCTGTTTACCTATAGAGTTGATTGTTGGCATAGAAATTCCCCAAATGATATTATGCTCTGCAGATTACTTTTGTAATTATGTCCTATATATTTAAATTTTAAATTGTGTCTGGATTTACTGGATACACTGGGTACACAATGGTTTATATTGAATGTATATTTCAACTAGATATATTCTGAAACATTATTATTACATATACAAGGGCCATGATAGAGTTATAAAAGATGCCAATGATTTCAACTGAGCAGGGTGTTTTGCAAAAAGGAAGAATCTAGAACTAGAAACCTAAGAAAATTGAAGAACTTTTGAAGCTGAATTCGACAGAGAAACATATCAGCCAGTTTTCATAATTTGGAAGGCTAATAAATTCTGCCTTTAGAGCTCCAATGGAAAAAGGGAGTTGAGGCACACATAAAAATACTATTCTGTTATTTCATGCAACAGATATGCTAAAAGTATTGACTCTGAGTCATCTGTTGAGGTTCCTCAGGAATCAAAATAAGGAACAGACAGTGTAATAGTGCCTCCACTTGAAAGCACAAAAAAAACTCAAAAAAAAAAAAATGTGTTCTTTTTCTCAAATGTGTAAAAAGAAAAAGGAATAATAAATACTGACTCAGAAGCTCATGGCCTCTGCCTTACATCTGGGTTGGGGACAGGTGATAAACATTCCCCTTGTGACCTTAACTAATGTAATATTAATAATTACTACCCACCTCTCAGCTAACCACTGCCTGCTCTCCCTGCACCTCAGTATTCCAGGATGCTATTCCTTCTCATTATCAGTTAGATCCCAGTTCCACATCTCTTTCATACTAATACTTTTCCATCTATCTACAAATACTTTTTCCACCTGTGCGCAGAAATTCAATAAATAC